GTTCAATCATAGTTCATGAAACTTGCACGTTTTGTCCATCAAGATCATCTTCACAAACAAAAAGGATATTTTAAACAGAAATGTCAGGCTTCTGAAAAGTATGTTCATTTCTATGCACTCAATACTTGGTTGGGCCTCCTTTTGCATGAATTACTGCATCAATAGGCCCTTTCGCACCGCTTTAGTTCCAGAACTAAATGTACAGTACTAAAGTACTGGGACGATTTTGCGTGAACTATTTCCCAGTACCATTTAAAGGGTTGCATTCGCACCGACAGTGTGCACTAGGACGTGACGTAAGCCGGTCAACAGCGACGTCATTTGTGCGCGGCGTTCAACAACAGAAACAAATAAAAACAACGTTAACAACAGGAGGATAGAGGACGCTGTGTTCGGAGCTGTGTCTTTGTTGTGTCTCGCGGGTTTCACAATAATGGACATGGAAAGTCGACGTATACGTAAAGCGATTGAAAGAACGGAAAGAAGGACTAAGAATCTCCAACGACAACTGGCAGTGCTACATTTGCTACAAGTGCCTGCACTTCAGCATCCATCCATCTATCGCTGTTCTCCAGACTTGCGAAATAAGTTGACACAATGTTTACAGTATGTTTACACAGCATTTTAAATCATGGCAGGTGAGGGCATTTTCGTACACATTTGGCCAATCAATGTCTACTTACATCACGATTAGTACCAGTTGTGCTGTATTCTAATTTTCTGAGACACTGAATTTTGGGTTTTCATTATCTGTAAGCCATAATCATCCAAATTTCAAGAAATAAAGGCATGAAATATTTCACTCTATGTGTAAAGAATCTATATATGGGTTTCGCTTTCTGAAATGAGTGACAAAAAATATTGACCTTTTTCATGATATTCAAATTTTTTGAGCTGTACCTGTAAACTGGAATAAATACAAAACTAGAGCCAAACTAAAACTGAAATGAGACATTAGTAATAAATAGTATAGTGAATAAATGAAATAATCATAACTAAACGGTATATGAAAGCACGTATTTCTGTACAATTAGGTGAAATAAGGTGCATTAAAAGTCAATAAATCCTTGATTAATATGAATATTTTAATTAAAAACGTGTCTCCACATACTATTCAATAAAATTCTAGTGCATTTAATCTATTAAATAACAGAGTGAGCGAGTTTTTGGATATGGTAAGATTACATTTATTTTAGTGAATAAAGTACCACATTTCAGCTATCGTTTTGTTAGGATGGGTACACAAAATGTTATTTTATCCTTGATTCTAGAAAATCCTCAATATGCTTTGTAACAGCTTCATGTGGCTGTAAACATTTAATTTTAACATGGCTTTGCACTATGCACGTGACGACTAAGTCGGTAAATGTGGTGTTTACATGGAATAATCGTAATATGAGTTTGCCTTATGGTGCAAACCCAGAGCCGAATCAGTAGGAAATCGATAAAACCAGCATCTTCCATCCGAAGACTTGTGTCGCATTTCGGGGGAAAACAAAAAAACATTGTCGAACAACAATATAAAATGCGGGAAACTATTAATTTGTTATTCTACAATTAATTGTACTATAAATTATACACTACGATTGGAAAATACTGTAAATTGATAAACTGTTCGGCGTGATGACGTTTAATGTCTCCGACAGCGCCTGTAGTCCCATTTAGCAACGTCTTTTTTAAGAAACGTAACAGTTTAAAAAATCACGAGTGGGGTGTAACTGGTTTGTTTTATGTCGTAGAATAAAACGTGAAAGTATCTTGAGCTTGTGTGAACCACTTTAGGGGAGTCTTCTTTTTCTTCTTCTTGGTGTTTAATGGCGGATGGCATACAACTTTTAGGTGCATTACCGCCACCTACTGATTAGGAGTGTGGATCAGGACTGTAATCTTCAGTAAATTCTATTATATATTTTAGGGGATTTAACCAAACTCCCATTCAAAAAACCCATTGACTCTGGGACGATGGAACAGGAAGTGCTAAAATGCTAACTCGCTTCCGGGTTTTTGCCTACAAAGTGACATCACAGTTCTACCACTCAGTATAGATACTCAGCGCCCCCTTCTGTTAGGGAGGAAAAATTACTATTTTGTAATGAAATACTAGCATTTTTAATTAATTATTTATTTTTTAATTAAAGGTTGTCAATCAAAACTATTAAAAATAGTTTTTGTTGATTAAAACTGTAGATGAAAAACTATTACTTAAAAAAACAACTGAATAAAATAAGTTTAAATTGAATTACTAAAATTGAAACTGAAATAAAAAAACCTAAATAGAAATATTTAAACTGAAATGAAAATATACAAATAAAAGCTCATTCAAAATATTAATACACTAGTAAATAAATAATACTAAAAATAACAACAATTTCATTATTCTCAATATCACCAGATAACAAATAACTCATAATAAATTAAGGAATTATTAATTAACAATAAATTAACTAATGTAAGTGTATCCAGCTTTATATAGTACAGTATATAGTAGCCTAGTTCAGCTGCTTGATGTATCATCATAAAATGTGAATTACAGGCCTAGCCCAGCTCTAACCGGCTAAATGACTATAAGGCATGAAGATATAAACATTAATATGATTTTCTGTAAAGCTACTTTGAAACAGTGTGTATTGTGACAAGATCTATATAAATAAATAAAAGGACTGATGTGCACCAGTGTGCTTTACAGCACAATAAACATTCCAAACAATAATGCACTTCATTCTTGTCATTACATGCATGTTTCATTTCATGATTGGCATATCTGAAATACAAAAGGTTATTTTACATTTTGAATCCAATTTCATCGTAACTCTTATCAGTCTGATTGAATAATTCAAAAATTAGAAAATATGGTAAAAAGCATGAATTATACTACTTATGATTCATTTATCACAATGGAATTGAAATATTGAGCACAATGCATTGTGGGATATAGTACCCAGCACAGTGTGCTCTTTTTTAGTAATAGGTCATCCAGGTATGCACACAGAACATTTGCAGAGGCCTACTACACACATTATACCTATTCTATAGGCTACTGTACTAAGTATGGCAGTAAAGATAAAATAATAACTGACACGTTCCAACCAAAATGACAAGTCAGAATTATTTTTTTGTTTTTCCTTTTCAATGTCTGCTTTTTGTGTCATACTTGTTTAGTCCTTTGGGTCTACTGTGTAGTTTTAAGTGCTTTATAAATAAATACATTTGATTAAATGATTTTTTCTCAGAACTAACTTCACTTGTCCGGGTTCTTTCTAATGTTTAATGGATGTATGAAGTCAGTCTCAGGTTCCCAGGTTCACACGTGATGACTGACAACTATAATGTGTTCAAACACTTGCCTTCATTATGAACGGTATTGTTGATTAACAAACTAACTTGCAAAATGTTTTGCTATAAAAATAGTTTGATATTTTGTTATCGATTGCAGTGACGTCTATTTTAGGCCTAATTTAAGTGTCCACATACTTTGGGCGCCTATTTAGTGTGTTAAAAGTTTTAAGGAAAGGGTTTGTATTTGTGAAATGTGTAGTTTTAAGTGCTTTATAAATAAATACATTCGATTAAATGATTTTTTCTCAGAACTAACTTCACTTGTCCGGGTTCTTTCTAATGTTTAATGGATGTATGAAGTCAGTCTCAGGTTCCCAGGTTCACACGTGATGACTGACAACTATAATGTGTTCAAACACTTGCCTTCATTATGAACGGTATTGTTGATTAACAAACTAACTTGAAAAATGTTTTGCTATAAAAATAGTTTGATATTTTGTTATCGATTGCAGTGACGTCTATTTTAGGCCTAATTTAAGTGTCCACATACTTCGGGCGCCTATTTAGTGTGTTAAAAGTTTTAAGGAAAGGGTTTGTATTTGTGAAATAATGTTAGACCCTGCCCTCGGAAGTGTTTCAGCACAGCAATTCCAGAGCAACGTGGAATCTACTTTCGATGAAATATGAGGAACACGGCATTGTGCTTTTGAGGTCTTTAAGAGAAACACTGATTTTCTCCCGCCACTTTGGATTTGGCACCATTTTGTCTTTCTAAAATCTGTCACTCACTGCTGACGCAGATCCTTTTCCTGAGCGGGTGAGATTTTTATTGTTCGGATGAAGCAGACCCTGCTATCTTCATCCACCAGCAGCTTCCTGTTTCCTCCGACACTTCTCTCTCCCTCCTCATGCTAACCTTCAGGCAGAAATTAAAACCCTTTTGTTTTTACTTTATTTACAATGGGTTTCTTTGTGTTCATATTTTGTGATATTTAACATCCGGACTTCTGATTGGTCATTTTGTTGTCTTGTTGTCTATAAAAATAAAGCTAAATAGAAATAATTAAACCAAATTTAAAATGAACATTGAAAATATAAAAATAAAAGCCAATTCAAAAAATGTATAAATACTATACACTCTTAAAAATAAAGGTGCTTCACGATGCCATAGAAGAACCTTTTTGTCTAAATGGTTCCATAAAGAACCTTTAACATCTGAAGAACCTTTCTGTTTCACAAAAGGTTCTTTGTGGCGAAGGAAGGTTCTTCAGATTATAAAAAGGTAAGAAAGAGATGGTTCTTTAAAGAACCTTTGACTGAATGGTTCTTTGTGGAACCAAAAATGGTTCTTCTATGGCATCGCTTGAAGAACCTTTTGAAGCACCTTTATTTTTAAGAGTGTAATATGCATCTGTTTTTGGAGGACAGCTTTTCGTTTTCCATATTTTAACAGACCCAAGTAGAAATACATAAAATGTACGTTGTAAAATTCATAGATGCAAGTTTTTTTTTTTTTCTTAAGTGTGCCCAATTTTCCACTTCAGAAGCATGCTAAATTCTTCTCGGAGTTCAGTGACAGACTCCAGCAGCTCTAGAAGGATGGAGTTTGTTCTTTACAGCAGTTTTATCAGTTCCAAACACACACAGGAATTCCGGTTTGGGGAATGACCATCCTGATTCCTCACTTCACTGGAAGGTTCAATAAAAAGAACCTCTAACACGACAAAAGCATTTCATTTCTCACTTGTCTGGACAGAGCTGTATAGGCTACAATGAGCACACCACTGAAGTCCTGTTTCTGGAGCTTTCTATGGACCTCCTCATGTCTCAGGCTCACCAGCTGGACCAGCACATCTTCGGAAACAGATCCATAATTTTCAGGTAGAGTTTATAGAACTATAGAACATTTTTCCAAGGATTTTGGGTCACACTTTACATTATATGCTACTTTGGGATTCTAATGAACAATATGTCACTGCTTTTTTGGAGCTGCTTTAATTACACCAAGTTATTGGTAATATTTTAGTTCATTACAGTCATATTTAATATGTAATATATATATTCTGTAATGATAAGTATTGTGGCATTTTTCAGTTGGCCATTGGCTTTACTCCCAAAGTTGTCCTAATACATAATCTAGATGTCTTGTTGGCAGTATAATGCTATCATTATGAGAGAGACTTTTCCCTTTTTCATTAGATCACCTGATTTTACTTCATATTTGTTTGAATTTTTTAAAAGTATTATACAATAATTATAGAGCATTCTGTTGTTTTATTTAATAAAACATTTTAGTTTAACATTTTAGAAACAGTTTTGTTATTTGCTTTAATCACACTACGTCAGCTGACCATAATATTGCGCCTTCTGTTGGCAAATTGTAATATTAAGCAGGGCGTTGAACTGTTAAACGATTTGTTTTCTGCACGTCTTTATCTTCATATAGAATGGTTTGTGTACTGCATGCTTATAATCGTCTTGTTAGACTGGAACTTTTCGATGTCATTTCTGATAGAGAAGTCTCTGTTAATTAGGCTAACAATTCTGCATTGTTTGAAGTATTACATTATGTTTTTCAGCAATGGATGGATTTAACCTTTCATGATTAATCGGGCACCTCTGAGGGCCACTAATGAAGAAAAGTGAAGACTAAGATGTAACTTCTTAAGTCTGCAGAAGGTAAAGTATGTAAAATTGTAACTATGTTTACATTCTCCATGTTTTAAAACCATATACTCTACGTTTAATTTGACAAAATGTTGCCTTGATGAGAAGAAAGGAGCCCTTTTTAACTGCTTCACGGTCCATTATTACTTTTGGTACGCGCTAGGCCAGACTCAAACTCGTACCGTGAGTAATAATGCACTGTGGCAGTGTGTTTATCAGCGTGGAGAAACTCAAAACCGGTTTGGAAGCAAATGAATGAATAGGAAACATTTCAATACGTTTCACTTGCATAAAAACCCAACCATGAGGGGCTCTGACATCTCTATTGTTTTCATTTTAGGTTTGAAATGAAGTAAACTGCATACAATCCAAGCAGTGGAAATTCTGGATGACAACTGAATTTCTGTATGCAGCATTAAAAACAGTCAAGCGGTTGGAAAACCAATTCCAGCTGAAATTAAGAGTTTGCCTGACTGTAAATCTGGGTTTTTGGCTACTGTTATTTTCAATGTATAAGACTTGGTGTAATGTAAATGTACGAAATGTGTTAAATAAATGAATTAATACTACTAATGAATAAATCAATCTAAGAATAATTTCTTTTGTAAAGAAGCAATAACGGTTGAATCAGTTGTTCTTTCGTTGTCTATAGGTTGAGGGGTCCGTGGACGTCTGACAAACGTCTCACCCGCATCCAGCTATTTTTATCTGTACAAAACAATTCGTTTTGTTGCTTGATATTGAAAATGTGTGTCTTACCATATTATTTTAATGTATTATCTTAATTATGAACACACTGGTTTGTAGTGCAAACAGTTTTACCTTTCACTGCATATTCTTCTTGCGGCTAATGAACCGGAAGTCTCGCCCATAGGCTTACTTCCGCGTTGAAGAAAAAGGTGGATAAACTTCTGTATTTTCCATGTTGAAAACAAATTTGTGAAAAAAACATGACCAACTAAATACGCATGACGCCACTTAGTTACAATGTTGATAGCAACCAGCATATGGGATGTCTTAGAGCAAAAGGAGACGTGCTGCGTCCCAATTCGCATAGTATCCGTCCTAAATAGTATTCGAAAATAGAATTAGTATGTCCCAAATCATAGTATGTTTAAAAAAGTATGCCAAAGATTCCCGGATGGTCTACTACTTCCGGTTACTCTAACGGCTAATATTGCCCACAACACATCGCGCGGTGGACGAGGATTCAATTAGAACTACAAACACGCATTAAAAGTGTTAATCTCTGTTAATTAGGCTAACAATTCTGCATTGTTTGAAGTATTACATTATGTTTTTCAGCAATGGATGGATTTAACCTTTCATGATTAATCGGGCACCTCTGAGGGCCACTAATGAAGAAAAGTGAAGACTAAGATGTAACTTCTTAAGTCTGCAGAAGGTAAAGTATGTAAAATTGTAACTATGTTTACATTCTCCATGTTTTAAAACCATATACTCTACGTTTAATTTGACAAAATGTTGCCTTGATGAGAAGAAAGGAGCCCTTTTTAACTGCTTCACGGTCCATTATTACTTTTGGTACGCGCTAGGCCAGACTCAAACTCGTACCGTGAGTAATAATGCACTGTGGCAGTGTGTTTATCAGCGTGGAGAAACTCAAAACCGGTTTGGAAGCAAATGAATGAATAGGAAACATTTCAATACGTTTCACTTGCATAAAAACCCAACCATGGGGGGCTCTGACATCTCTATTGTTTTCATTTTAGGTTTGAAATGAAGTAAACTGCATACAATCCAAGCAGTGGAAATTCTGGATGACAACTGAATTTCTGTATGCAGCATTAAAAACAGTCAAGCGGTTGGAAAACCAATTCCAGCTGAAATTAAGAGTTTGCCTGACTGTAAATCTGGGTTTTTGGCTACTGTTATTTTCAATGTATAAGACTTGGTGTAATGTAAATGTACGAAATGTGTTAAATAAATGAATTAATACTACTAATGAATAAATCAATCTAAGAATAATTTCTTTTGTAAAGAAGCAATAACGGTTGAATCAGTTGTTCTTTCGTTGTCTATAGGTTGAGGGGTCCGTGGACGTCTGACAAACGTCTCACCCGCATCCAGCTATTTTTATCTGTACAAAACAATTCGTTTTGTTGCTTGATATTGAAAATGTGTGTCTTACCATATTATTTTAATGTATTATCTTAATTATGAACACACTGGTTTGTAGTGCAAACAGTTTTACCTTTCACTGCATATTCTTCTTGCGGCTAATGAACCGGAAGTCTCGCCCATAGGCTTACTTCCGCGTTGAAGAAAAAGGTGGATAAACTTCTGTATTTTCCATGTTGAAAACAAATTTGTGAAAAAAACATGACCAACTAAATACGCATGACGCCACTTAGTTACAATGTTGATAGCAACCAGCATATGGGATGTCTTAGAGCAAAAGGAGACGTGCTGCGTCCCAATTCGCATAGTATCCGTCCTAAATAGTATTCGAAAATAGAATTAGTATGTCCCAAATCATAGTATGTTTAAAAAAGTATGCCAAAGATTCCCGGATGGTCTACTACTTCCGGTTACTCTAACGGCTAATATTGCCCACAACACATCGCGCGGTGGACGAGGATTCAATTAGAACTACAAACACGCATTAAAAGTGTTAAAAACTACAAACATGGCGGATATACGCGACCAAGGTATATAAACGGATTTGAGTGATAAATAATCAATGTCTAATCTGATGGGAAAATATTAATTTAATGTTATCCACGTTATATTTCATCTGCGGCAACACTGTGAACTTTTATAATGATACTTTTGGTCATTAACTTTTAAATGCATCATTATGCAAACACATGAACAGAGCATGATAGACCTGCCACTGGCAGATCAACGTGCCTCTTAATTTCTCTCCAATACGGTAGAAAATCAAATTAAACAAAATGTGGATGATGTTAACTGTGATAAGATGATTACCAGGGCAGTTTAAACAGTGGCAGAATGCACGTAACTAAGCAACAGTTATGGGGAAGTAGTATGTCCCAAAGCTTGCCTACTATTCTTCTACATCTTATTTGATGACTCTGGTAACCTTTTTACTTATGAGCAATTTATGACTTATACCACAATTTCCCGATTCCTCCAAAAGAGTTCAACACAGTGGTTAAAGCAATCTCACCTGGGTTAATTCATCTTGTTAAAAGCCACTCCCTATATACTCAAAGAAGAACAATCTACTTTGTTCTTGGATGGAATCGATTTTTTAGACAAGAAATGTACCAATAGACATGTACGCCAAATCTTTCGATTCAAGAAAAAGATTTCTCCAAGAGGAAAGTTCTATTGGAGATCTTTGGTAGAAGATACAGATTGGAGAATGGCCTGGCTTTTACCTGGAAAATACTGTATTTCCAATAAAGCTAAAGAAATACATTTCAAAATTTTGTATAAAATATATCCTGTAAACTCTAATATTTCTAAATATCTGGACATTGACAGTTCATGTGCTTTTTGTAAGCAATCAGAAGAGACATTTGCACATTTGTTTTATGATTGCCCAATATCCAAGCAATTTTGGTCTGACCTTGGCTCCTATATATTCGATTCGGCCAATGTTACTTATTCTTTCAGTCTAAAAGAGATTCAAACGTGAGTTTTGAGCAGTGTAGAGTAGCGCTTGTTGTTTGTCATTTCTTCGATCACAAATGCAGATATGGTTTTATGTTTATGTGGCGCGATGCAACGCAACATGTAAAAAGACAGTATAAATCATTATAATCCATAATTATGTCACCACTGGATGCAACAAATGCCTCGTTTATAACGGGTTTTAATGTTTTTGTCTTGTCGCGCCGGGACACGGCATCACAGTATGGTAAGGGGCATAACATTTCCGTCACACGCTTGAGGTATTCAGCCAATCACAATGCACTGGATATCTGGCCAATCAGCGCACACCTCGCTTTTCAGAACGATGAGCTTTGTAAAAATCGATGCCTTTCAGAAAGGCGGGGCATAGAGGAGAAACAATAATGTACAGTATGTGGAAAATAATGTGTTTTTTTTTACCTTAAACCGCATAAACACATTTCATTACACCAAATACACAAAATAATGTTATTTTTAGCAGCATCATATGACCCCTTTAACATGGCGCTGAACAAGAATCAACTCACTGGACCCAATGAAACCACTGCGTTTCACGACAGAATCAATTTTCATTACTTATACCACACGGATGGGAAATCACAGGAAAATAATATCTCCTTTTTTTGTACATAATAAACCAGTCAAGCCAATTTGTGATACTAGTAAAGTTTTGATTGGCATGGCTTTGTTATTGGGTTGTTTACAAGGATAGTTACTTTACCCTCATGTTGTTTCAAACCTGTATGCCTTCTGTGAAACGAAAGCGATTTTGACCATTGTCCATACAAAGTCAGTGGGCTCAAATGTTGTTTGGTTCCCAACAGTCTTCAAAATATCTCATTTGTAATGACATTAGGGTGAGTAAATGGTAACAGAATTTAAATTTGTGGGTGAACTATCCTTTAAACTTTAGAAAAATTGATCCCTTCAGTTTATAACCCACTGGATGATGGATTCCAACCTGTTGGATTAATAAAAGCACAGAACTAAGTCAGTAATGTCAATATAGTTTATTTTATTTGGTGTAGAAGAGTGAAATTCCACAGTACACCTGAACATAAATGTCCAGGGAATATTCTCTGGGCGTGTGACCCTCACACACAGTGGAAGCCATCAAAATATAATCCACGAGTTTAAGAAGCACTTTGAACCAATATGTGGAGGTAAAGCGGAACAATGTACAATCAAGCGTGTTAAAAACGTAATGCGGTGGGGTTGAAATAAGACAAACCGTGACCATAGCAATTTCAATCACTCAAACCAATCAGCATCGACCTGATTGGTGAAGCGTCCCTTTGGAAACTCGTCAGTCATTGCTGTCGCTACACTGACGATACGGGCGGACGGTATTAAGGGTTTTGGTGTTGACTTTTCCCTGTTTTTCCTTGGAGCTGTAAGCAGCAAAAATATTGTCCAGAGGGCTGGATTGTCAAGTCCACAAACCTCCAACATTATTCGGAAAGTAAAAGGCACTTCAAAACGTTGTAACAAAATCCAGTGTATTGTCTCACATCATATACACACATGATCAGAAATGAAGGAATGCAAAGATAGTATAAACCTTGAAGTGAGTGACGTTTTAAAACAGTTTTGCTTCATCAGGCTTATAAAAAGAAAGTAACAAAAAGCTGGTCTGTAGCACACGACAGGTTTAAGGTTTTCATGGAGCGAAGAGAAAGACTCGTGGCGAGACGTTTCTGTTGCGTTGCAGAAACTTAAAAAATTGCATAGGCAAGAAAACATGATTCTCGGACCACAAGGAGGGAAACAAAACTAATGCAAATATATATATATATATATATAAAAACAATAAGATTCTATCCTCATGGACAGAAAGTTGAACTTCTCTGAAGTGAAAAAGACATATACTGTATATGCGTGGGAAAACTTAAAAGCAAATGGGACTTCCAAGTCAGCAGCAGTTTTGGTGCAGGGCGGCGCCCCGGTGGAATGGTGAAGCTGTGCGGTGAGCCGAAGCAGAGCAACTCTACAGCTCAGTGTCCTGATAGTTTTGTGTGGTGGTGTAATAGGTTGGTCTGCTCTGCCAGCTGATTTCGAAACTCCTCTCCGGGCTCCTCGCCGAGGCCGAGCGGGCGGCTCTCCGAGTATGGGCCGAAGCAGAGCAACTCTACAGCTCAGTGTCCTGATAGTTTTGTGTGGTGGTGTAATAGCCGCGCTTGGTCTGCTCTGCCAGCTGATGTCGAAACTCCTCTCTGGGCTCCTCGCCGAGGCCGAGCGGGCGGCTCTCTGAGTATGGCAGCTTGCAAGGAGGCGTCTGGGGCTCCGGTCGCGCACTGGAGCTGGACGCAAAGCAAACGCAGCAAGATCAGGGAAAGATTGTGCGCGCATTTATCCTGCTAATTTTTGCAGATCAAATCCAGACAGTTCAATAGGAATGCACGTGATTGGGAATTTCACATAAGATTTCAGTTGTGAAAAGCTGCTTGGTTTGAAAGTAACTTCTGTGTGAGCTGTGCTTCATACATCACTACATTATTGACAAAATACCTTTTTGCTTGCAAAATTTTGTTTATGTGACCACACCTTCAGATCAAATCCAGACTCTTACCCGATAGGTTGTGGCCTGCTGTGGTCCAGTTTCTGAGATTTCATGGGGACGGCATAAATGTCTGGATGTTTCTGTGCAATCTCCATCTGAAAACAGAAATCAAACACACTAGAATTGCTAACATAAATATTTAGGGTTAGGATTAGGGGTAGAAAATGAGTTGATCAGAACTATGATTTGCCACATACAACTGGTATTTATAATTTGGAAGGAGGCATATTTTATCAGTAAATATTTTTGTATGATGAATCATCAATTTTTGGTCTGTTTTCAAGAAGAGAAATAGTGTAAATATTGACAAAATGTTATATGTGACCCTGGACCACATAACCAGTCTTAAGTCGCTGGGGTATATTTGTAGCAATAGCCCAAAAATACATTGTATGGGTCAAAATTATCGATTTTTCTTTTATGCCAAAAATCATTAGGATATTAAGTAAAGATCATGTTCCATGAAGATATTTTGTAAATTTCCTACCATAAATATATCAAAACTTTTTTATTAGTGATATGCATTGCTAAGAACTTCATTTGGACAACTTTAAAGGCGATTTTCTCAATATTTAGATTTTGTTTTTGGCACCCAGATTACAGAATTTCAAATAGTTGTATTTCAGCTAAATATTGTCCTATCCTAACAAACCATACATCAATGGAAAGCTTATTTATTCAGCTTTCAGATGTATAAATCTCAAAAAAATTGACCCTTATGACTGGTTTTGTGGCCCAAGGCCACATATTTAACAAGTTTTATAAATATATATTTTAAAAGTTGTGTTGTCAACCTACATACTGTAGCATGTAGATCAAAATTCCAATTTTCCAATTTTGAATAAAATGACTTCTTAAATTTAAATTAATTTTTTTATTTAAAATTTTAATTCCATTCCATTTATTTTCAGTATGTATACTGTGCAGTACACAAATATATTGTTCCAAAGCATCTACAGACAACAGAAAATATAGAGGACAAAAGGAAAAGACAAATGCTCAATGAAACAATGAATTAAAATAAAATAATCTACCTCCACTGACTCTTTCACAAAGATTTTGAATTGTCATTTTGTTGTGTCATTGTTCATGCAAAGCCTAAAGATGGTGAACACTCACCCTGGCGTTCTGGGCCTCTTGGATCTCCAGGACTCTCTGTGTCCGGGCCAAGTGATCCATCTTCTCAAAGGCCTTCACTTTGCCCAGGAAAGACCTCTGAGAGGGATCGTCAGGGCTGTCCTCCAGAGGTTTGCGGTCCCGTACCGGAGGGCTGTTTACGATGCCTCTGGAGCTGCGGGACACGTAGGTAGGTTTGAGAGCTGTGGGGGGAGGCAGAGGTTTGGTTTTTGCAGGAGAGTCCTGGCTGCGCGGGTGCTCGCTGCTCGCGGGACTGCTTGAACGTGAGTCGTAGTTTCGAAAGGGGTCGTACTGCCCCCGTGACGCCTCCACTTGAGACAGCATTTTTACCTGAAAGACAAATTAATATGAAGAAGAACAGCACTACCGAATTGAATCACAGTGTTTCCTACTACACGTCTCTTCCTAAACCGCAGGAAAAGGCCAGCACTGGATTATATCGTCACCACTGCATTTTTCACACTGAGCTCCATGATTCCAAACACAAGACCTACTAACACAACACTACCTACTAGTCAAATCTCAAACACTAACTAATTGCTCCAGTTTTTCTATAAACACTGCCAAAATACTAAAAACTACTAGAAACACTTTATTATTAAGGTGCAACTCGTTAACATTAATTAATGCATTAGGAATCATGAAACAGTTATAGTAAACTAAAACGAAACTATTAACTATTAAACTTTTAATTGCAATAAAGCGGAAATAAAATATAAATATTACTTGATAAAACAAAATGTGAAAAATATATATTTTAAAATTATTTTTAAAATGTTGCCTTGGCAACTAACTGAAATAAAAAAAAAAGTTGAATGAACAAACTGAAATAAAAAATTTAAGCTAAATAGAAATAGAAATGTTTAAAAACAAAAAAAATTACTAAAATAACAAAAGCACATAATGACTAAAATTTAAAGTAAAATCAAAATGAAAACAAAGTATAAAAATAAAAGCTAATTAAAATTGTAATAAATACCACATTAATATGTAAATAATACTAAATATCCTTATATTTAACAATAAACAACTATTTTAATAGCATTTATCTAGGTTATCTACGCAGTTAATTTCTACATATATTAATACATTTTTAACATATTTGAAGTTAAATCAGGAGTTAAGGCCTGTTCACACCAAGGACGATAACTATATCAGATATCAGAATCCATCCTGCTATATCGAGCTTGAGAATTTAAAGCCGCAGACGAGCGTGCGCTTAGAATAAACAAACGATATCGTTCACTGGTGTGAACGCTAATATCATTATCTTTATAGTTATGTTTCTAGTTATCCTTCTTGGTGTGAACGGGGCTTTAATGTATTTTGAAAATATATGAATTAATAATAATAATAAATATATAATAGGCCTATAATATAAATTGACACTAAACTAGATTTAAAAAAAAATAAAAATACATTTTTAATTAACTTGTAACTTATTGTAAGAGCTTAACTACCTCCATTTAACGTCTTTTTTTTTTTTTTCATGGTCACAGTGTATGTGACTGGTACAATTAGTTCAAAATCATCTAGATGCTGACAGTGGCTTTCAAGTACACTATACTAGTGAACACGGCTCTACAGTGTACCAAAATGTGTCACTGAGCTGCTGCGAGAGGATTCTGAGCTGCTGGAAAAATGGTTGCTCCAAATCAGGCCGTTCTTCTGTAAGAATGCGGGTGCAGTCAGGAGAAGAGTTGTGTTAGAGTCAGTTTACAGTCTTTACTGCAAAGAGTATTTGTAAACTTAAAAATGGATGCATGTCACATAATAAAATGTCAATGCATTTCATGCTTTTAAAGTGTGGCTTAAAGTCCCAATATGTATTTTTTTTATGAAAATATCCAAAAACCACTAGAACAGTGTTATATATTTTGCTGACTTGTGTACTTACATTATCCAAAATGTTTCGAAGAATGTTTAAATCCAGAGAAATAAGCAATTTTAACTAGTGACACGGAGCGTGACCATAGTGTCATTGTGTCGCCTGTTGCACGACCGGAAGGATAATCTGTGGCATAATAAAAGCTCCGCTGCTTTCCAGCCGTGTGTCACGCTCGTTCAGCGGCCTCGTTTCGCTTTGATGGCTTTCAGCCTCACCCTGCTTCATTCTACTACGTTAATAAATCATTAGCTCATCCATGAACATGATTTCTGCCCGAGTCCCATCAGATTGCATCGGCTGTGGGGATGAAGACGACAACTCCCATGATTCCACACTCAGTCACGCCGTCATCAAACTACGCCTTTGTCTATTTGTTTATTTTGAATATGCACCCTCTAGTGGTGAAAATTACATATTGTGCCTTTAAGTGTCTACTGTATGCAAATTTCTAGTCTCTTTTTGACACTATTCAGATATCTTGATGAATGGTGTTTTTAAGAAAGAAAAGCCATTGGGGAGCGTGACACAAGCTCACCTTTGCGGGGTCAGGCAGGAAGGTGGACATTAAAGGGGGACTAGCTTCTGTCAGCATCTCTCTGCTGCCCACCCGCCGGATGCGACCTCGAATCTCTGGGCTGGACTTCCTGAGGATCTGGGGGAGCAAGAAAGAGATAGATAACATGGAAAGATGTCTAGGCAGGGGAATGCCTTTATGCATACAAACATACAGTCAGGAATGCGTTTGTCTTGGGCCAACAGTATAGCACACTTATGATTTAACATTAACATTCATCTATCTATCCATTCACTTTTGTTTTGGCCAATTCATTTTCTTCTTTCCAGCTCTTTATGGTAACTTTAAAAAGCTTTTTAAAAAGCTGTTTTTTAGTTTTTTTAGTTTTATTACCATTTTTAACAATTGATTAATTATATTTCACTGTAAGTCGCTTTGGATAAAAGCGTCTGCTAAATGCATAAATTATTAAATTATTATATTTATAAGGCCTTTTAAATCACAATTTTCCTAATAGTATACAATCTTTTAGGATTATTTATATACTGTTTTAGTAAATATTTTTGTTCTAGTATTCCTTTCAATTTATGATAATATTTATTACTATAAAAGCTAATTTTAAATTAACCTTTATTTTTTCTATTTTTTAATTTTAATTAGTTACAGTCATTATTATGTGCTTTTGTCATTTTTATTAGTTTTTTAAATATTTCTATTTAGCTTTAATTTGGTTTTATTTGAATTGATTGAATTCGAATTCTTTTTATTTTCAATTTTAGAATTTTTGTAATTTTGTTATGTGCTTTTGTCATTTTTATTAAAATGTAAACACATTTACAAAAATAAAATTTTATTAATAAATAAAATGTAATAATTTTTGAAAAAATATTTCTATTTAGCTTTATTTTTTTACTTGTTTTAGTTTTAGTAATCTTAGTACTTCAATTGAAACTTTTTTTAGATAGTTGCCAAGGCAACATTTCACATTTTTAATTAAGTTTTTCAAGTTAAAGTTTTTCATCTTTATATATAACTTTATATACTGATATACCTAGCTTTTTATTACATTTATAACACTTCATTTAACAAAAACATTTTAGTTTTAACGATCACAACCCCGATTCCCTCACAACCATCGAAACCCTGTTAATGATATTTGCTAGAATAATCATCATTTATGTTTCTCTATTCAATACATTTTTAGTGATCAAGGATCTTGTAGTTCCAACATCTAACAGAAGGGGGCAGAAGTGGCTGCTTTTTGCATTTACAGATGCACTTAACGTTTTTGGAAAGCATGAAATCCATGCGATTTGCCATGGAAACTCATTACCATGCACTTCCTGCATTTACAGCATGTAATGCCTGCACGACAAGTGTGTGCTAATGTCTTGTTCTCAATGTGAAAATGTATTTCCCTGCTGGCTCGACCTCTGCTGTCTTTCCTTGAGCTGACTTTGTGCTGATCTAGGCAACTGTGAGGGATGCCAGCGCAGCAAGCATGTTTAAGTGTGGAGATGTCAATGCATGTGCAAGCAGTTCACCCATCACTGGAAAAGATGTATTATCCATATGTGTTTTGGAATTAGCATGCATGCATGTGTGTGTGGAACTATGCACATCCTCTCTGATATCTCCAGGTTATCCATGGCAGTGGGAACCCTGTAGAAATGTTAAACGTATGCATGCATGCTCTAACCTCCTCTGGCATGACTGGCTCAGAGGAGCGGCTAATGGCCGAAACCCGCTGGCGATCAAGCGGCTCGTCCGTTTCGTTATCTGTGTAAGTCCCGCCCTCGTCCGCCGTGTCGTCATAGTCGCTGGTCAGCCGGCTGTCCATGCTGAGATAGTCAGCGCTCATGGCTGAGAGATATGACATGCGGTCGTCATGAACGTCAAGGTCCCCCTCCGTCCCGTCCAGCTAAAAGAGACACATGATGGATCTTGTGTACAGAGAGGAGTGAAAACAAAAAACACAAAAACAAAACAGAACGAAAGCTGTAGAGCACCACCGAAGAATGATGAACAGTAAAAAGCACAGAAAAACAGGAGGAATGACTATCATGACTTTCAGAAAAGGAAAATGAACTGTAAACTGTAAAGAAAACATTCAGGAATACTGGGAAAGATAAAGTGGGAAAATGTGAATGAAGGAGTCTTAAAGTAAAGAGATGTTGTAAAATGTTGCATTAAAGTCAACATGAAATCAAGATTGATTTTTTTTAATGCACATTCCTGATATTAATGTACTGTACATGATTCATCATGATTTAGATAAATTTGATTATACTGTCATTTATTATTTATAAGATGAAAACAAATGTTTTTTTTTTGTCTTAAGATCATAATTTAGTAATCATGGGATACATTTTAAATAATTTTACTGTTGTTTTGAGGGGATGTTGCCAGGTGTGAAATATTCCAGATATTTCCTTATTTAGTCTGTTTCTAACTTTAGCTCTTCATTTTCATCTTTTAAATAATAGCAAAAAAGGAAGTTTTTTTAAAACTACTACTACTATTATTATAAAATATAATTTCTAGATTTTTCCATTTCCAAAAAACTTGCTCTATTTTATCATATTGACATTAATATGTAATGTTATTATAATATCTATGTATTATTCATGCATTTATTATTATTACTATAAGCTGTATTTTAATATATCAGTATTAGACTTTTTATACAAACTACATTTGCTATAATAGCAATATTATTATATGTTTAATTATTATTAGAAAAAACAGGAAAATGTAAAACCGTGCTGCATCTCTATTTTTAATAATTTACATTTACATTTATTAGCATATGCTTTTATCCAATGTGACATACAATCGGGGAATACAGCGATTTCAATAATGTTTCAATAAAAATTTTAGATTCGGTTTGACTCCGAAATACATTAGATGCCAGAAGCAAAATGGTTTGTAAACAGTGTTTCATGTTGACTTTAACAGAAGGTTTTGTTTCAGAGTGGATAGAAGGTGGTGGAGAACTATATCGTCCATTGTTTTTACCTTCCCCTCTGAGACCCACACAGCGTGGGTCTGCTGGTCTCGTATGGTCTCCTTCAAACTGCCGTACCAGGCATCATTAGCCGAGTTCAGATCGATAACAGCTATCAGACCGATGGGGGTGGGACAGAGAGAGAGGAAATCAAAACATTTCGATTTGGGTCAACTGTTCTCTAGGTTCAACTTGACCTATTTATCTCAGTGTTTCCATCAGCTTCTTTAATCGCTTGGAGATTTTCAAATTGGAATCTGTGTCAAAGTCAGTTTATATTGATATGTGCCAGTCACGATAGCTTCTCTTTACTGCACTTCCCTACAATTCAGTTTATAAGCATTTTAATTAACAGAATCATTTTATAATCTATTTTTACATTTTCTAAAAAAGCTACCCAAGCAAAACATGCTTCTATAATGCTAGGATCTTTAATTAAAATGAGCAAACAATCAAATCATGTGAATTTAGACTTTAATGATCCAGAACAATATAGGGTTGAGAAGATAACGACCGATTTTTTCATGAGGTGTCTGGACCCCCAGGACTGACCGGTAAACAGGTGTGAGCAGGTTTTCCTGAGCTTCAGAGCCTGGTCGTGGAGTTTGCGGGCACTGCGGTTAGAGCTGGGGATGATCCTCTGTCTCATCGCCTTCACCCCATGTTTGCTGTCCGGGCTGAAGAGGATGACTATGGGGTACCACTGCGTGTAGTTTAGGGTGTCCACCGCTTTAGGGGTGACGTCCAGGAGAGCGTGCTTGTCCTGCATCAATTACAGAATTGGTCACTGTTCAATACTGGTAAAATGTACAAACACTTATGTCAAACAAAAGAATGCAATAAGTTTTGATTAGCAATTTGTGCATACACAATTACCTGTTCAATGATCTGTCGAATAGTGTTGAGACGAACCACCCCAGAGGATTTCTCTGACCCCGCATCTTTGGGTTCTGTTTCTGATGTGCCATTGAACAAAAACAATAAGTATAATCAAACTACAAATAAGAATACTTACTAAATATGTGCAATGCAATACAAAAGATACATTTTTATTAAATGTTAGCTAAAGCTCTGGATGCTATTACACTATAGACTTTATCATCCATTCGCCCCTATTCATATGCATGGAATGTTTTTGAACATGGAAAAGCAGGTATGCATTCAATTATTATTATTATTATTATTATTATCTATTTTTCTTTTTTTTGTATTTCTAATAGAGATTTTTTTATATATAATATCAGCTATTTTTTATATTATAAATTATAGAAGTACTTCATAACAAGGACCCCCCCCCCAAAATTCTCCATATAAATATGTAAATATATAAATAGAATTTTATAAAATACTAGTGCGGTCAAACGATTAATCGCGATTCATCGCATCCAAAATAAAAGCTTTTGTTTGCATAATATGTGTGTGTTCTGTGTATTTTTATTATGTATATATAAATACACACACTCATACAGTATATATTTTGAAAATATTTACATGTCTATTTATATTCAGTAAATGTATATTATAAATAAATATATTTCATATATAAACATAACCTTTTTCTTAAATATATACATGCATGTGTGTGTATTTATATATACATAATAAATATACACAGCACACATACATATATTATGTAAAACTTTTATTTTGGATGCGATTAATCGCGATTAATCGTTTGACAGCACTATAAAATACTTTTTATATGAAAGCAATAATATGCATTATTATGATTATAATTATTATTATTAGAATAATTTTGAAAATGTAAAAAATGTGCTCCACCTCTACATTTATTAATTTAGCAGACGTTTTTTGTATAGCAAAAACATTAACTTGGCTGTCTGAAACTCTTTATATTATTTATATAATTATATATTATTTATTCATGTAAAATTACATTTTTTATATTTTTATAAAATGAATAGCATGACATCATATTGTCTTGATAATATTAATTACAGAGTCTAAAACCATTCTGCATGCTTAAAATCCAAGTGTGAGCATCCCTTCGGACATTATTGATGATATGGCAGAGATCAACTCACTGGCAATTACAAACTCGTCTGGAAGCTCCTCGGCCAGTTTTTCACAGGCAGCATCAGCGATTGGTCCAAACAGCACAACCGGCCTTCGGAATCCCGCTATGGGAGAAGACAAGGCTTACAATCAGGATTTCAAAGCAGAAGTGATCTGTTTTAGCCTGACTAAATTACAAAATGGTTTATATTAATGGTAATAAATGCTCTTTTAGCTATGTAAAAAGGGTTTAAAGAGGATTAAAGAAGAGTCAGAAGAGTCTTGACCGATGATTCAAAACAGCCTTTTTCAAATTCTCGACTGTGGTTTTTGTCACATAAATCATGATGATTTTATTGGGCAATTTTTCTTGAACAGTGTGTAGGGAGCAATCTCTCTCTGTGATGATGAGCCCATTTTTCAAACGTATTAAAAATTTCTCAGCTGTCTGTGTGGGTATGCAGAGACTTTCATTAGCGGTATTAGGCCGGTCTGCTCAGAGATGTGACTAATGTTGTGTGCAAGCAGCCATCGCGTTATTGAAACTGTTTATTGTGTAAATGATACAGGTACCATGATAAGTAAATTACGATGTTTGCCATCCATTGCATCAGTTGTTTGTGATGTATTTACCTTATAGTTTCTTTTTTTGGCTGCTTTGTGATTACACACATGCTGGTATTGGTGGTTTATTGGTGGTGCATTTTCTACACCAATCCTACACATAAACCTACCCCTTACAGAAAACTTTGTGCATTTTTAGATTTTCAAAAAAACATAATTTAGTAGTTTTTTTTAAAGTTTTTTTTTAATTCTTTTGAATTACGGGGACATAGGCAGTGTCCTCATAAACACCTTCATATTGTAATACCTCTGTCATACCCATGTCATTATACAAATTTGTGTCCCCGTGAACCACCCAAACCAGTGCGCGCACACACACACACACACACACACACACACACTACCAGTCGAAGGTTTGGAATAATTAAGACTTTTTAATGTTGTCAAAAGAATTATCTTATTATTTTATTATCAAATTATTATCAGTTTAAAGCAGTTTTTGCTATAATATTTAAATTGCGGTACATTACCTTTCAAAAGTTTGCAGTAAGATTTACAAAAAAGAAGAAATTAATAATTTATTTTGGCAAGGACGCTTAATTTAAATGGATCATAGGAGACAGTGAAGATATTTATTATATTACATTTTTTTCAAATAAATGTTCTATTGAATTTTCTGTTCATCAGAGAATCCTGAAAAACATGCAACCATTTCCACAAAACTATTAAGCAGCAAAGACGGATTTCAACATTGATAATAATTAGAACCATTATTAATAACTGTGTGCCAATAATAATTAAGCTCCAAATCAGCATATTAGAATGATTTCTGAAGGATCACGTGACACTGAAGAGTGGAGTAATGATGCTGGAAATTCAGTTTTGCCATAATTATAAACGATACATTATAAAATATATTCAAATAAAATAGTTACTTTAAACTGTAATAATGTTTCACAGTATTAATTTTTTAATCATATAAATGCTATTGTTAGCATAAAAGACAAACATTTGATCTGATTTAATATATAAAAATACATAATTTGTGTGTATTTAAATGAACAAATGTGAAATTTGTTATACTCAACCCCCCTAAACTTTAATAATAAATGACTAATGTTTACTACTATTTGGTTAATTCACAGTATCTTTTTTGGGCTTCGTAACTGTTAATAATCTTGAAACACTATAATGAGAAATCCATACTGAATTGTTGAATAACCTTTAAAGTACACTTTGTAGTTATTTTGTTTTGTAGCACCCACCTTCTCTCAGCACCACCCTCTCATAGGCAGGGAAGCGGGTGAAGACGGCCGCAGAACTTTCCTCTCGGCTCTTCCGCACATCTTTCTTCTTGGCCGCCCTCTGACCACGCAGCCTCCAGAAGTCGGCCCGGTCACTTCCTGAGCCCTTATGTGTGTTCTGGACATTTGCCATCTGCTCGGCTCTGATCAGCACGCGAGCAGGGGTTATGCAGCAGCAGGGTTATGCAAAGAAAGCGATAGATTATTATAGAGCAGTGGTACATAGAAGCAGAGTCCGCTTGCTCTTCAATATAAATACAAATTCATATTTTATTTGATGTTTGCGCTGTTTCCGACTGAAAGGCTTAAATGCTATTTATCTTTTAATCTCATGCTAAAATTGCCTGGCCTTCTCCGTTCTCACCTGCTCTTGTTGGGAATGATGCCCTTCTCCAGCAGCTGGTTGTCTTTGCCCATGCGGATGGTCAGCCAGTTTCCCAGCTTACCGTCGTATAAGGTGTCCACCACCTTGAAGATCTCTCCCCGGGAGAAGGCGAGACAGTGAGGCAGCTCCTTCTCATACTCAAAATGAGTCCGGATGAAAAATGAGTCCCCTCGACCGGACACCAAGATGTCTTCATAAACTAGGACACAAAACAGAAACATAAGCTCCCAAACATGTATCAGGCTTAACTGGTAGAGCATGATGCAAGCAATGTCAATGTTTTGTCAATGTGGTCAACCGAAAATGCATTTCAATTTTGTGTGCAATATGGATCAGAAGGCTGAGACTGAGATGTGAAACAAGACTAAAATTAATAGTGCTATTATAAAAAAAAAAAAAAAAGATTAAATAAATAATAAATAAATTAAATGGATAAAAAGGAAGAAAAAACTATAATAATAGAACAATAAATAATAGGTAAATAAATAAATGAAATCATAAAATAAATATAAAATACAAATAAATAAAATGCATAATTACAATGACAATCTAAAGGGACTATAAATGTAAAAATAATTAATAAGCAGACAAGAATAAAAAAATATATAAAAATATATATATTAAATATAATAAAACTCAAAAGGTTATGTAAATGCAAAAATAGATAAAAATAAACATAATAAAATAAATAATATATAAATATACCAATAAATAAAATACATAATTACAATAAAAATCTTGCTGTAAATATAAAATAATAAAAAAATAAATACATTATAATCAAAATTCTGCCAAATCTTCAAAAGATTCTTTAAAAAGTAAAAAATCCATAAATGTATAATATATATATATATATATATTATATATATTTATTTATTTTAGATGTAAATTTTAAATAAGTGACATTAAAATTTAATTCACCACACTAATTCAATAATTTATCACAACATGATGCAAGTTTTCCATGGTTGATGTCATTTTTATTTGTGAAGTGCTAAAACTGTCAATGAACAGACAACTTCAGTGCTATTTGGCTTAGGATTCACAGCGTCAAGGATAAAAGTTTCAGCGGTCAGATTTCCTGTAGCGGTGCCGTCACCCTCTTGATTAAAGCTCTGACACCACATCTTTCTCGGCTCAGACCAAATGAGCCTCAACCCCTGACAGCGCCAGACCTCGCTTTCCCACGAGACACCCACACCGAGAGGAGATGGAATAAGAGAAATAGAGATGAAGACAGGGAGAGAGAGCGATAGAGGGATGGTATGACAGCAGAAAAAGAGGGATAGAGCAGAGAGAGCCGTGTCAGTGCTGACGTCCCGCTGTCTTATGCTGGGGTTAGGAACTTGTTTTTGGTTTCTGGACTCCAAATCCAATAGACTTGGACAAGACGTTTCTTTATCAGGATTGAACAAATTAACATCAGCATGGGGTTTTCATGTGAGGCATTTGGTTCCTCACATAACAGGCAAGAGAAAGCAAAGCTCACAAACATGAAAATCTGGATTTTGGCTTTTGAGCACATGAACACACTTGACACGGCAGTCCCTGGAAGAGCCAAAACTGGCTACAACTGGTTTTGTAGTGATGAGCAAGAAGCCGAGGCCTCTCGACAGGCTCTGTGTGTACAGTACAGGGGGAGGGAAGAGCAAAAACACAGCACTTCTGGGCCCATTCACACATACACTGATGTAATATTGGTCGCTAGTAAATAAAAAATAAATCAATAGATAATAAATCAATAAAAACAATATGTAATTATAATAAAAACAAAAGGTGTTGTAAAAACACACAGATAAAAAAGAGATACAAATAAATAAATAAACTATAAATGAAATACAAAACAATATATTGTAAACAAATAAAAATTAAATAGATAAAAAATGAACAAATAGATACATAGTAAATAAATGATTAATATGTAATTATAATAAAAAGTGTTGTAAACAAATGAACAATAAATAGATCAAAATCAATAAATAGAAAATAAATAAATAAAAAATCATATGTAATTATAATAAAAACAATAGGTGTTGTAAAAAAATACAGATAAAAAAAAATAGACAAATAAATAAATTATGTAATATAATAAAAACAAAAGGTGTTGTAAACAAATAAACAATAAATAAATAGATAAAAAGTAATAAATGGAAATACAATACAATAAATAAAATATGTAATTATAATGAAAACAAAAGGTGTTGTAAATAAATACATTAATTAAATTAAATAAATAAATAATAAAATACAACACAATATATTGTAAACAAATACAAATTAAATAGATAAAAAATGAACAGATACATAACAAATAAATTAATTTATATGTAATTATAATTTAAAAAAATTGTTGTAAACAAATAAAAATTAATTAATAGCAAATAAATAAATAAAAATAAAACGTAATTACAATTAAAACAACAGGTGTATTAAAAAAAAAAAAAATAAATAATTAATTATGCAATATAATAAAAACAAAAGGTGTTGTAAATAAATAAACAATAAATAAATAGATAAGTAATAAATGGATAATACATAAATAAATAAAATATAATTATAATGAAAACAAAAGGTGTTGTAAATAACAAATAGCATAAATAAATAAACAAACAAATAAATAATTCAGTGTTGTTGTGTTTCCTGAGGTGAAGCGAGGGGCAGTTTTGTGTGTTTAATGTGTGTGGGGTGAGCGAGGCTTGTGTTCTCTTGCTCTCACCCTCAGTTTTATTCTGTGCCAAAATGGTCACGACCTCACCCCGTGGGATCTCCAGCAGGAACAGCACGGCCTCCTCTCGCACAATGCCCCGAAAGTCAACGTTATTCACCTGTAGGGAGAGAAAGATAACAAACAAATACAGTTGAAAAGGAAATGTGGCAAATGCAAATCAAATTCAAAGCATTTTCTCTCCTCATAAAGGGGTCATTACATGGAAAACTGTACTAATATGTTGACGTAATGTTGACTTAAAGCTCCCTCCCTCTCCAGTCCACCCAGGCTATTTCTGAAAACTATAAAGACTACATAATAAGGTTACATAATCATAAGTGTGGTCATTTACATACAGAAGATTTAAAGATACAGTAACAAAAGCGGCTTGTTTATTATAAAGTCAAAAACAAGATGACCCAAAATGATCAGAACAAGAACATTAGTAAAACTAATAGTCAACAGAGCTGTTATTTTTGTACCTTCATAATCTGATCCCCCACACGGAGACCTTCTTCTTCAGCCGGACTGCCCTCCTGAACTCCTGCTATGAATATTCCCACATCATTTCCTCCAGCCAACCTCAAGCCAACACTCTCTCCTTTCTGAAAGCTCACCATCACTGTGTTGGGCCTAAAAAGAGAGGCAGAGAGTTAGGTATTTGCTAACATCTCACCTGTGACATCACTTCAGGAAGCACAACACACCAATCATGAAAATGACATTATGTAAAATATATATACAGTATCTCACAAAAGTGAGTACACCCCTCACATTTGTGTAAATATTTTATTGTATCTTTTCATATGACAACACTGAAGAAATGACACTTTGCTACAATGTAAAGTAGTGAGTGTACAGCTTGTATAACAGCGTAAATTTGCTGTCCCCTCAAAACTCAACACAGCCATTAATGTCTAAACCGCTGGCCACAAAAGTGAGTACACCCCTAAGTGAAAATGTCCAAATTGGGCTCAAAGTGTCAATATTTTGTGTGGCCACCATTATTTTCCAGCACTGCCTTAACCCTCTTGGGCATGGAGTTCACCAAAGCTTCACAGGTTGCCACTGGAGTCCTCTTCCACTCCTCCATGACGACATCACGGAGCTGGTGGATGTTAGAGACCTTGAGCTCCTCCGCCTTCCGTTTGAGGATGCCCATGCTTGGCCAATCCATCACCTTTACCCTCAGCTTCTTTAGCAAGGCGGTGGTCGTCTTGGAGGTGTGTTTGGGTCGTTATCATGTTGGAATACTGCCCTGCAACCCAGTCTCCGAAGGGAGGGGATCATGCTCTGCTTCAGTATGTCACAGTACATGTTGGCATTCATGGTTCCCTCAATGAACTGCAGCTCCCCAGTGCCGGCAGCACTCATGCAGCCCCAGACCATGACAATCCCACCACCATGCTTGACTGTAGGCAAGACACACTTGTCTTTGTACTCCTCACCTGGTTGCCACCACACATGCTTGACACCATCTGAACCAAATAAGTTTATCTTG